GGCGGTGGCGGTGGTGGTGGCAGCGGCCCCTATGTAATGTAATCCCCTAAATGATAAAATATAATCCCTTTAGAGCCCGAACTTGGACCCAAACAACTTAAGCAACCCAGTCACCAGCCACCAGCCTAACCAAGTCTCACCCAGCATTGGCCCAGTGGCCCAGCAACACAACAGGATACCAAAACCCAATTAACTCAATACTAACTTGATAGTAGATAGAGTCTGCAACATGTAACCCGTAATTTAACAACGATGAGATACACATTGTCTATGTCCTGGTCAGTTTCACAAGACACATCGTCCAACCAAATCACGTCCAATTCTGCCACCAGAAAGTTTTTGCTGAACTGCGGGGACGAATCTAGGCGGAAATGTGTTGCCACTGCTTCTCAGAATCGAAAACGAATTCCCGCGCGAACAGCATGGAACTGTAATCCAGAAATAAGCGGAAATCATAGAGAAGGCTTTTGCGTGGCAGTCTCAACGGACCCATGGCCAACAGATGCGCCTTGAGCTCTGGATGGAGTACCATCTTCATGGACCTCGGCATGCAGTCAAGGGCCAATGGATAGCAGGAGGTTAAGTCCGCGCTCTTGTGTTGCTGCTGCTGTTTGTTGCTGCTGTTGATGCAGCTGCCGGTGCTGGGTTTGTAATAGTTTGTAATACACTTTACAACACAACCGTCAATGTCAAGCCGTCAAGCTCAAGTTGGAAGGGTTGCCTGAGTTGCCTGCACTGCAACTGCAACATGCCCAAATTAAATTCAATTTGAAACTCCCTGCAGACAAAGCTCTGTTTGACCACAATTTCAAGCAGATCCGGTTCTTGCGCGTGAATCATTCGCAAATTGTCAGCTAAAAGAACAGAATCCAAGATATACAATGGTCTGTATTGCACGCCGCCCCTCTTGTCCTCTCTTTGCTGCCTGCCATCACAGGGTTTCAAAACCTTTCGAAGAGATGTCACCGCGGCTGTCGCTGCGTCCAAGTCTCCTGACTGAACGCTCTGCAAAATCGAGTCCAATCGCTTGTCAATGTCAGACTGTTCCGGCGCAGCCCTCGACTCCCGAGCAGGAGAGATCACAACCACCCTCACCTGGGATTCTGGGATTCTAGGATTTTGGAGTCATCAAACTCGATGTTACGGGGTTTACTACGGGATACTACGGGCGGCCAGTGGCCACCCAATCCCGAAAACAACCAACCAAGCGGCGGTTCTTACCTTTCCTTGCCAAACGCTAGCAAGTAACAGCACCCCAACTCAACTGGCAAATGTTCTGAAATTCGTGGGCCACATCGTCCACAGGACAGCCACCAATAGTCAAAGCCCCAGATTCCTGGCAAGGGTTCAAACTCTCTCCACAAATACACTAACATTCTTTGGCTTCTGGTAAACGAAAACCACCAACACGATGCTGCATTCACACGTGCTGCCTGCGCGCGGGCAATCATGCTGGCATCTTCCCGTGGCAACACTGCAAAGTTTCGTCTGCCACGCTGCCGAACTCTCGACGTAAGAGACACATCTAGCTGCCCACGAAAAAGCCTTTCAACATCCTCGCTATCCAGTGATGTGGTTGCCCCCACACGTGTCAACAACAACAGTTCTTCATAGCAATCTCCCTTTCGTCCCAGACACCACAAGTGCTCTTTGCGCCTGTCTGGTCTGGCTGGCACAAGCACGCCGGGGTTTGCTGCAGGAACTGCCAGAGCCATAGCACTATCAAAGCACCCAGGCACCCAGGACTCGAGACTCGGACTATGACTATGTCAGTGTCAGCTGTCAACTTGTGTTGTACCATGCAGCTAGCAGTGTCCCTAGCGCACAACCGCTTTAGTTCCACCAATGCAGTGCTCTACGGATAACCTCTGGACTCCTGGCCCTGGCTGCGGGTAAGCGAAGGCATTGGAGTCAAGGTCAAAGCACGCTTGGCCTGGTTTCCATGTGGTTTTATTGGATTTGGGAGTTGGGACATGTCCCCTTTGAAAGGTTTGCAAGTGGTGGCAATTCAACTGTTTTGTGCGCCAAACATGTTCATCCACTCCTTATTGAACTTTATTGTCCCCAAGAACACATAAACACTATCATAATGGATTGCCCACCCCGAATCCCTGCCCAATATTTTGCCGAAATAGCTCGGCGGATTTAGTAGTGGAAATCATATCAGAGTCGGTTTGACCATGGAACTCTGATTCTGAGTCATG